CCCCTAAAGGCAAGGCACAACTTCTGCCCACCCCCCACCCCTAGTTCCCCTGCAGAGAGCAGGGGTGTGTGTGACGTCACGCGTGTGCCTCGCCGTGGCTCTCTCCTGTTTCCCCAGTCACCAGTGGCCATCTGTCTCTCCGGCTGTCCCATGGCTTGTGAGCGCCCGCGGGAGTCAGCACGGATATTTCTGGTGCCGCCTCCCAGGCCTCCTGTCGGAGGTGTTGGCTGGGATTCCTTCCGGTGGTTCTGTCGCTGTCCGTGTCTGTCCCTCGTGGTGACCCAGCCCGCTCCTCTGTGGAATGGTCCAGGCTGATCTGGTCCCTCCATCGCCAGCAGCCCAGCCTCTGTCAGATGATGCGTGGTGGCCTCACCTCTGCTGCCTCACCTATTCTTAGCTAGGTGTGCTGGACAAAGGAGTTCCAAACGGACCGGGCAAACAGCAAGCCCACTGCAGTGGAGTCCATTCCGACACCCCCGGACCGTCAAGGACAGAGTGGAACTGCCCCCGCCCCACAGGGTTTCTCGGGCGGCCCAGCTATATAGCCGACTGCTCATCTTTCTTCCCCGGAGGGGCTGCTGGGTTCAGTGGCTGACTTTTCAGTTAGGAGCCTGGCGCTTCCCCCAGGGGACCTTCAAAATAGACCTCCCCACTCCACTCGACCACCCATCGAGTTGATTCTCACGGCCACCCCAGCAAGACCCTGACATTAACATAACCCACCCTTGCCGGGAACCACTCAGTACTAACTGCCATCCTGTCAAAGCTGACTCATAGCAACCCTATAGGACCGGGTTCCACTGCCCCTGCAGCAAAAGTGGCCTTCAGTCGCCCACCCCGAGCAGTTTATCAGAAAGAAGGCTATCTTCCCAAGCGATCCACCCAGGTCAGGCGCTTCCGTTACCCAGGGGGGTCCCAGAGGACACGGGGGTCAGTGAAGGTGTGGAAAAGGCAGGGGCCTCGCAGCTTCCACAACCTTGCGACCGGCTGTCCTGGTGACCCCGTGGAGGCTTTAGTTACAGCAGACACCTTATCACACCCTGGGGCTGGTGTCAATTTTACGGCGTGCTGCGCCAGCTCCTTTCCCCCGCGGCGCCACCAGCGGCTCTGCCTGGTGTTGCAGCCTCTGCGGGCCTTTGCTTTAGACAACCAGCGCCCCTGTTTTTGTGGATGTGCTTATCTTGCTTACGGGGTACCCCGTCCCTGAGCTCAGGGATTCTTTCCCCCTCAGTTCCTCTGGGTTAAGGCTGGAGGAAACGCATATGGTGTGTGTGTGTGTGTGTGTGTGTGTGTGAAAAATCCTGATTCTGAGCATGCACACCCCACACCTAGGGGTGTGTGTGTGTGTGTGTGTGTGAAAAATCCTGATTGTGAGCATGCACACCCCACACCTAGTACCTCCAGCGCCAGCCTGGACATCCCTTTGTCTCCTCGCTTGAGTACCTGCTGTTAGGCCAGAAGAGTAAGGAGGGGCCTGTTCATACCATGATTCACTTCCCTTCCACAGCCATTTATTAAGTGCTCCTTTTATTGTCTGGTCATTTATCCCTCGCTCCATGAAACGTGGGCGGAGCCCGTGTGAGACGGTGCTGGGGCGCAGCCATGGCTAGGGCAGATGGAGAACCCAGAGAGTGCAGGCTGAGGCTGAGGAGCTGCAGGCACAGGGGCTGGGGCTGAGAGGAGGGAGCCCCGGACGTCTGCTAGGTGACGTAAAGACACATCAAGGGTTTCGACAGATTTGATCCCTGTGTTAAGTCCATTGGGATTCATCTCAGGGCGGATTCGAACGGCTGACCTTTTGAATAAGGGCTTCACCGTTTGCTTTGCTTTGCCCCCGCTATTTTGACAGGCTTTTCACCCCAAGAGTGTAATAACAACAGCTACCACTGGGGGGAGAGCTACCCACACCCGGACCCAAAACCCATTGTCACCAGCCACTGGGACAGACTAGGACTGCCCTGGAGGCTTTCCAAGGCTGTAAATCATCATGGAAGGGGCGGCCACGTCTTTCTCCAGAAGAGCCACTGGTGGCTTTGAACTGCTCACCTTTTGGCTGGAAGTCCAGTGCTTAAACACTGCACCACCAAGGGTCCCATTGTGGGGGGAGGGGAGGCAGAAACTTGCCAAGCTAGGGTCTGACTCCCTGGGGCCAGACAGACCCAGGGCCTGATCCTAGCAGCTGCCCTCCACCTGTGAGATCTGGGGGCATCACAGTCTCTCTGTGCCTCACCTGACCTGGAACCTGGCCTGGCTCTGGGTGCCAGAGGGGTTGGGTTTCTCAAGGTCAGGGTCAGGAAGTGGCCCTGCCTTGATTTGAACCTTGCTATTTCCTGTCCCTGGCTGAATCCTCCTCCTGAAGCAGGACAAGGGGACTGGGCCAGCCCTCAGAGCTGCATTTCTCTGTCCCAAGCATTTCCCAGCACCTCCTGGCTGCTGTGGGACAGAGGGAGTCAATACTTTGTCTGCTCGTCTCTGCCCCTTCTCTACCCTCCACCCTCTCTTTCTCATGGCCTTTGTCTGGCTGTGTGTGCATCTCTCTCTCCCAGTTTCTCTGTTTGCTGCTTTCTCTCTGTGTTTGTTTTTCTCTCCCTCGACCCCCCTCTCTCAAGAAGCCCCAGCAGTGTAATGGTTATGCATTAGCTGTGATCTGCCAGGTCAGCAGTTTGCTCCTCCAGAGAATGATCGGGCATTCTACTCCTGTAAACAGTTACAGTCTCAGAAACCCACAGGGGCAGGCCTTCCCTGTCCTACAGGGTCGCTGTGAGTCAACATGGACTCGATGGCAGGGAGTTTAATTTGGTTAGCTCCCTCTCTCTACACACACACTCTCTCTCTCAGTGATTTCTGTCTCTTTTTCTTGCTCCCATCTGTTTTTCAGACAGTTTTGTTTCTTTCTTTCACTTTCTCTTGGCCTCTATTGCATTCATTGACTCACTCACTCATTCATCCATTCATGTTACAAATATGCACCAAACATCTACGATGAGCTAGGCCGCTTTTGCTAGGCATCAGGGATCCAGCTATGAACAACACAGATAGGACTGGCTACCCTTATGGAATGACATCATAGTCAGAGTTCAAAACCAAAGTCGCGGCCATTGAGTGGATGCCGACTCACAGCAACACCGAAGGACAGGGTAGATCTGCCCCTGAGGGTTTCCAAAGACTGTTACTCTTTCTGGAGTAAAGAGCCCCCCCTTTTCCCCAAAGAGCAGCTGGTGGTTTCAAACTGCTGACCTTGAGGCTACCAGCCACATGCACAACCAGGACACTCCCAGGACTCCTCCAGCCAAGACAAGCCCATCAGATAGAGAGGGGGCTAGACGGCAAGGAGTCCTAAGGAGACGCAAAAGAAATGGGAGGGGCCTCACTGAGAAGGTGGCATTTAAGTGAGGGGATCTCCATGGGGACCAGCCTTGGGGCAGAGGGGACCCCCTGTGCCAGGCCCTGAGGTGGAAGTGGTGCAGACAGGGCGGTGGTCAGAATGTGTGAGGGGGAGGAGGAGAGCTGTGATGGTCCCGGACTGTCTCAGAAGGCATCTTAGAAAAGCCAGAAGGTCCTGGCAGGACAGGGTCTCGCCAGCTCTCTCTTCTGGGCACTGCCACCGCTGGCCTTCCGGGCACTTTGCTCACACTGTGGGCAGCGGACGGGCTGCCTGGGGCTTTGATTCCAATGGTTCTGCAGAGCAGGGGAGGGTCTGGGTCCAATCGGCCCCTGCATGCTGGCCCAGGGCCTGACTCCCTGCCCACCCAAGCTCCACCCTGACCCCTTGCTGAGACTCTAGTCCCATCCCTCCCCACACCCTGAGACTTCTTCCCTCTCTCCAATACTGTTGCACCCCTCACCTCGGCCATCTGTCACGTTGTATCTTATATGGGCTGGGTCTTGCCCACTTCTCTGCTGCGGCTGTCCTGTATTTCCTTTTCTCTGTCTGCACCCCCTCCCTCCGATTCCTTCTGTCTTGCTTCGTTGCTGCCCCTTCCTTCCGCTCTCTCCCTCTTGGTATCTCTCTCGAGGCCACTGGCTCTATCTCTCGTTGGGTCTCTGTGATCTCCTGTTTATCGCCTTGTCTCTGGACCAGCCTGTGTTTGTGTTCGCAGCTCTAAGATCTGTCTGTCTGTTTCCCTCTAGGCCTGTGTCTGTCTGTCTCTTGCTCTCGGAGTCTGTGGCTCCCTTGAAGGCCCTCTCTCTGTTCCTGGTCCTGTGTCCCTCGGAGTCCGTCTTATCTCTCCCCCCCTGCCTCATTCTTTGGCCCAACTAGGTCTGTCCCTCCGGCTCAGAACCTCTCAGACTGCCTCTCCCCCCTACTCCCACCCTTGACCTTCACCCCTCTTCTCTCTTGCGGGTGTTCCAAGCTCCCCGCCCTCGCTGGGCACTGCCATGGGCGCCAGGCAAAGGCTTCCGCCCAGCCCCTCTCTCCCCATCCCCAGGAGCCAAGAAAACCAACTCCGGGCCCAGCACTGGATGCAAAAACTATACGACCAACTGGAGCTGCAGCACTTCCTCCGAGACTGCCACGAGGTAGGACTTAAGCTGGCCTGGGGCAGTGACGCCCTTTGCCCTAGGTGGGGAAGAACGCCCAGTCGGGGCTGGGGCGCGCCCCGTCTAAGTGGGTCGCGGAGCGCTGCTTACTCCGCGCCGCCAGGAGGCGCGCTAGGCCTTCGCGTCAGTGCGCATGCTCCTCAGTTCTCCCCCGCCCACGCGGGCGCGGGCGGGGGCCCTCCTCTGGTGCCCCTGACAACGGCGCGTGCGCGCCTCCGGGTCCCGCGGGGACGCCCGCGGGTCTTACCTTTCTCTCTGGAGATTCGAGCTGGTCCCGACTGGGGAGGGGAGGGCTGGTCCAGATGGGGGTGGACCAGAGGCCCGGAGAGGGTGCAGAGCCGGACCTTTGCCCCTCGAATGATGTCTAGGAGTCGAAGTGAACCAGAGATGGTTCAGAATACCCCGTTCCAGAGCAGACAGGAGGCCACCCCCGTCTGCGTGCCACCACAGACGGTTTTGCACTCTGGCCATGTAAGGGAGGACCGACTAGACGGGGCCCAGGAAGCGGTTCTCTCACTCCCAGGTGGTCGGCTCTGAAGTCCTTAAGGTACAGGGCCACCCTCGCCCTGGTGAGGAGCTGCTGTGCCCCCAACCAAGGAAGGTTCTGGAACGGGGTCCTTGCCCCCACCTCCATTAACGACGCTTTGGCCCTCGCCTTCCTGAGTTCCCGGGGGGGGGGCAGCCAGCGAACACGCACTCCCATTCTTACCCCCCGCCCCCCGCATCCCCTTATGCCGGAGGTGGACCGCGGGAGAGTGTTCTCGAGCGACGTCGTAGACCAGGTCTAGGTCTCCGTCCAGACCCACCACCTCTGCACAGGGGAGGTCGCCGGGATCCAAGCCCTTCCTCACAGCACGTGGGTCAGA